GCCCGGGAATGCAACTCGGGCTTTACGCGATGGAGGTCGCGGTGGCTAACATCATTCACTGTTTCACGTGGGAATTACCGGACGGAATGAAACCGAGCGAGCTCGACATGAGTGACGTCATGGCTCTCACCGCACCCAGAGCAACGCGCTTAATCGCCGTGCCTAATAGGCGACTCATCTGCCCTCTTTAAAACCAAAAGTTCTCAATGTCCATCAGTTTTTGTCTTTTCGGTTATAATCTTGTTTTGTCTTCTTTTTTAATTGTGCTCATTTTACCCTTTAACTTGGGACTTTGATGTTTACTGAATATATCAAGTAAAACCACGAAATATATTTGAAAAATCGTCATGTACATACATAAATTTTCCTCTTATACGAAAAATAGACAAACAAAAAGTGTCGAGACAACGACTTTAACTAATTACATAGATGTGCGATGAGTTAAACGCTCAATCATACAAGACTAGATAACAAAACCCTTTATTATGGCAACAGAGCTTCAAAGAATGCGTAGAGTTTCAAAATAAAATGGTGGAATGTGAGAGTTAATGTGAATGTGAATGTATAGGGTTTTGGAAATGAGAGAAGATTATATGTATAAAATGGTGGAAATGTGAAAGTGAGATTGTGTATTATTTATGACTCACCAGAGGACAATGAGAGAAGAAAGGAGACGAGGTTTGGTTTTTTAGTCATCGAACAATGTTGTTTGGTCTCTGAATCTGTATAAAATGTTGGATTTCGTTAGAGAGTGTTTCGAAAGACGGGGTAAGAGTTGTTGAGTTCGAGTCTTTCCAGGATTTGCTGAGTTTTCCATAGATAAGACGAGTGACCTTCCACCATATCGGTTACATCCACCTGCAAATGTTTGGGTTTTTAGATAGGTGATGTTGAAAATGATGAATAAAAAATGAACTCAAGGAGAGAAAATGAGTCAAGCTTACATCCTCAATCCCAGGGATACAAACCGGTTGGATTCCAGCTAATCCTTGGGACAATAGACTGCGAAAAATAACAACGGTAAAAAAAAGGTTTGGATTTGCAGGTGAAATGGGAGTCGAAGAATAGATCAAAATACCTTGCACGGAAAGCAACCCCGAGGGTCCAATCATTTGTGGCATAAACATTAATGAATCTTCCAGCCACCATCTGGTAACCAATATAAAAGACTCGTATAAAGATGAAACAGATACCAAAAGATAGATTTGTTTCCTAGATTGTGACATCAATTGTTGTTAATCTATAGTAAGTGAACTCATCAAGAAAATTTATGACCTTTCTTATGTCTCGCCAATTCTCGTTCTTGATTGCAATCGGTGCTCCAAGAAGAACAACTCTTTCCACAATTTCAGCTGCGGTTGAAGTGTTAAAAAGACTCATTTTGAATGATAACACTTTTTCTAAGAGAGATATGAGAGGGAAACATACCGTTTTTCTCTGTCTCGGCCAGAGCCTGGAGGCACTTGAAGACAACTCGCGCACCAAGCGAAAACCCCACCAGAGTCACAGGTCTAAACTCCTCCAAGTTTTCCAAACAAAAAAAAATTAACAGAGTGACAAAAAATTCTAACTAGATAACTTCCAATTATAGAAATCTAATGTGATTTATTCAATATTTGTTTATCTGAAACTTTATACCTATTTCCTTGCAACCCTTTTCGAAGCGCTTCAGCAAGAAGTCTTCCTGCTTTATCTGACCTGAAATATGATAATAATAGTGACAAACTTACGTTGCATCCCATTTGGAATTTCCATTCACAAGATATATGCTTTTCACCTGTCAATAGCAATACTCCATCTACTATCTATGAAATCAGCAGCTACAAGTATTGTTGCCGGCCATACCATTGCTGCTAAAAGCGAGCTTAGTACTGTGCGCATTGCACCTTGTCTCATCAACTCCATAGCAACTCCTGCAAAAATTTCATGTTGCTGTCACTATTTATTCTCAGCGAAATAACAAAACAAAAAAAGATTTACATGGTTAATGCACAAGGGATGAAACTATATGTATTACTTGAAGTAAGCCAATCCTGAATTGCAGTGCTCACTGCAATTATATTCTTGGATTCCCATTGCACCGCGTACCTACGAAACAGTTATAGCAAACATATGAATCATACGAACTGTAGAATCAGTCACAAAAAATGTACACAGGAACAACTCATGCTAATACCTTTCCAAGTTGCTAGTTAACCCTTCCCAGGGCTTTACAAAATCTTCTTCCTTTAAAACAAAGCCAGCAACTAAGATCTCCACTGCTAGTCGCTGTTACATAAATAAAGAACAAAGACGCATCCTCAAAATCAGATAATACCAAGCAAAGAGATTTTAACATGAAGGGCAGACAATAAATTTTTAGTCCCAGTGCAAAACTATCATTGTAGTGATCTAGCAGCAGAAGGAAAGGAAATCAAAACTAACTCCTTGATTATGATTTTCTCCAATAGCTTTAAATTCAAATTCATCAATGTCCCCAGTTCTCCTTGCCATCTTAGTCCCTGTCAGCCCAGCTCCAGCAGCTGATCATGACCACATTTAGAAACAAAGGATAAGATAAATATGGTCCTTCCTTCACAAAGAATTATAAAATGATCATCAATTTTCTCGATTTCTTCTTTGAAGAAGTTAACACTCTGGTAAATTCTTTATTTACCTCCAAAAGATGCT